GTTAATTTCAATTTGTTTGGTATTTATTAACATTTATTTTGCCAACTGCAGTAGTCACCACTTCCGGCTACAAACATAGCAAAAACTGAAGATATGTCAGTGACCTACGACCTTAAGTCTTATAATGACATAACCATTGTCTGTCATGTTAGGAATCATGACTTTTGCTAACAATATTCTCATAGGAGATAAGTGTAACTCTCTCAACACGGGCTTGGTCATGTTGGCCAACCACATGACCTCTTTGTACTCATTCAAAGTCTTTATAGATTTGATACTACTAACTTTTAATATAGTATGTACATCTTCACAAAATTTGGCAGTATTTCAGCTAACATTTACAAGTCTTTTACATACTAAAAAAAGATTTGTTCTTGAATATATCGAGTATTTGTTTTGAATAGTCCATGTGTAAAATAATTTTCATGTTAAATAAAAAATGCTTTTCTTCATCTCAAATTTCATTTGTGTAATCTCTAAAATCTCCTAAATACATTTCAAATGTTTGTTTTCAGTAAAACTTTATATTTTATGTTATTTTCTCTACCCTAACTCTATACGCTGTTGGTCAATATGACAGACCTCGTAACCATCACCACAAAAGAAAAAAATCTAAATTACCCTTTTTTTCTTTCTAGAATGACTTCAAATGTAACGTGAAACTACATTCGTTTATCCTAAGTAGCTTTCAACTTGCAACAGTATATTACATCAATTTGTAATTAAATTTTATTGTTTTATTGCCTTTTGAACCCTGTCTAACTACTCTTTGCACCACTTTCAGTTGTAAATCACTTGGGGAACATGGCATTCACATTATGCTGTCAAATCACCTTACCTATGAGCTACTCTGAGCTGCTCACATGCATGCCTCATATGTAATATATAATTAAACATAAGAAAGAACTATTAACAAATCCTGAAAGAGAGGATGTGGCAGGAGGGGTCTGATTTTCTATTTGATACCTCTGTAACCAAACAAAATTGAAGGCTATAAAAATGATGGTTTGTCTGAGTAGTGATAATTTTATAGTGAGTAATTTACTTTTAATTTCGTAGTTACTGGAGAAGTGGTGGATAAAATAGAGAAGATACCTAGAGAAAATGTGTCATGTGTCACACTAAGGGAAATTCTGGATCTTTTTAAATATTGCCTTATAGAATTAAGAACTCAAACTTATATACTATTAAAATAAGGATTATTAGCTAAGATTTTATGCTATACTAATTGGTATAACAAACAAAAAGTATTTTAATAAAATTTTGAATGTAAGACATAAAAACCTTGTGTCATGCACAGTAAAGGATATCCATGGTGACAGAGTTAATCAATAGTCTCCTTTCAATAAATAATAATTTTCAGCAATATTCAGTAAATCAGAATTTGAGTCATAATAATTTTTTTCCACAACCATTTAGATTAAACCTAACTAAGCTAACTTCTTATCTTATTATAGAAGAAAATTTATATCTTTCCGACATATAAATTAAGACAAAAGTGTCTTGAACTCTCAGTTAGATTCCTTTTTTCATCCATACAGTAACAATGTCTAGGAACTTATCCATTAAAATTAATTATTGCTCAAACCACTTTACATTGGCATGAATAATTTATTATCTGTTGTACTCAATCACATATTCAAATGTTGCCTATATCCATTTTCAAAGCTTTGTTTTATTAGTAACTCTTCAGACTGTAGTAATCAAACCACTAACACAGAAGGAAAATGAAATGAGGAAGACATAAATAATTATATTCTCAATAGATAACAGTTTCTTCACAAATAGGCTTAGGAAGACAAATAATTATGTATAATTATTTGTCTTCCTAAGCCTATTTGTTAAGAAACTGTTATCTATTGAGAAGTGTTCCTAAGCCTATTTGTTAAGAAACTGTTATCTATTGAGAAAAATAATTATATTCTCAATAGATAACATTTTCTTAACAAATAGGCTTAGGAAGACAAATAATTACATTTCTCAATAGAACAGTTTCTTAACAAATAGGCTTAGGAAGACAATTATATCCTCAATAAATAACAGTTTCTTAACAAATATGCTTTGGATTTAGCAGAAAAAACAAAATTTATAAACAAGTTATTTACAGGTGAAACTCCTCTGAGCTACACAGAAATGAAAGAAAATTTTTCAACTTTTAGTTTGTGAATTACACTAAATAAATATTTCAACTGACAAAGTATTAATCAAATATTTATGTATAAACCACCAGAAAGTAAAACAAATTAAACAAAACAAACATGCCAGAAGTTTCTGAAACTTAACATACACACACAAAAAACAAAAACAGTGATATACTAAGAATTACTTAATACATATGTACCTGGTTTGCCGCTGTCTTAATCTCTGTAGGGACACAAGTGGTAGTTACTGTTGACTCGCCACTTCTGCTACAATCCAATACACTAATCTGCTCGGATGTAGTTTGCTCATCACTTGCTGAATCTCTAATTTTACTCCGTTGATCCTTAGGAACTTCACTTGCTGCCTCTCCAGATGGAGCAGACCCATTAGGGATTTTGCTTATAGCTTCTACAGGAGGTGCAGTGCCATTTGTAGTTGAGTCGGGTTCATTATCCTTTGTCTCTCTCTCTGGTCTAGGATTTCCTCTTCGAAACCTTCCACGCCCTCTTCCATACCTAAAGCGAGGTCTACGAGGTGGTTGACGAATGCTTTCTTCTCTCTGTCTGTTAACATCTTCTTCGGCGTCATTTACTGGCTGATTCCACAAAAAATTAATACTGATGAAGTTGTTTGACTTACCCAATGTTTTCATATATCTAAATGTACTGAACTAGAAAATAACCTTGGAAGGGATAGTCAATCACAAATTGTAGTAACAAATATCATGCACTCCAAGTAAATTAGTGTAAATTGGGGAACTGCTCTACATAAAACATAATAAAATCATTAAATTTCAGTTTAGAAATGTTGAAAACTTCCATACATTTACCTCACCATCACTGTTGTGACCTTCTTCAGATACATGTCTAGGTCTGCGCCGAAAATACCGGCCACGATACCGCCGAGGTGCTCGACGTTGTTCCTGGTCCCTCTGTTGTGACACATTGCCTCCTTCAGTAACCTGCTGGTCTTCCTGATATCAAAATAATAAAAAATGTTAACATTTATTTTTTGACAAAAATAATATAAATTTAGCCATCAGTACAATGGGTTAATCCTCCCAATTATTTAGGTTTTTGTTTGTTTGGTGTGTTAATAAATATGATTTATGTGTATGTAGTTTTTAGTTAAAATTTCTATTTTTCTAAATGGTGACCCCAAAAGATTAAATTTTGCTGTTCAGAGCTTTAGTTATCATGTTGTAAGACAGACAGACAACATTATCATGATACCCTATTCTCAGTTATAGAGGAGGAGGAATAAAAAAAAAATTATGTAATCGCAAACATTTTTTTTTGGTGACCATAAAGCACAAAAACTTTCAATGCAAGGTCAAATATTGTGTGATCATGAATTTGAGGTCATGTAATTAAGATGAATAATTAGTCAGATCAATCTTTCTTCACCACAACCTCATTATGTAAACACATACCTTTTAGCACAACTAGAACAATAATCATGTCAAACTACATCTGCTGGCTAAAGCTTTGGTTGAAAAGAAGAGATTTGTTTGTTTAATTTCGCGCAAAGCTA